ATAATGGGCGTTATCAAAGGCGAGGAAAAGGAACAGGGATTAAAAAGCATTTTCAGACAAATAGGTGACAAGAATTTCCCAAATCTAAGGGTTGAGTTGGAGCTTGGAATTCAAGAAGTCAAAGTGAAAGATATTTGCACACCGATTTTCATAGCAGCATTTTTCATAGTGGCCAGAACATGGAAGCAACTGTAGTGTCCTACAATAAATGATTGGATAAAGAAGTTGTGGTACATATATACAATGGAATATTACTCAGCCATAAGAAGAGATGAAATGCTGCCATTTGCAACAAGACGGATGGACCTCGAAATAATCATAAGCCAGAGAGAATAAGTTGAAAATCACATGATATTACCTATATGTGGGATATAAACCTAAAAGCAACAAATGAACAGGACAAACAGAAACTCATGGACATGGACAATACACTAGTGGTTACCAGTGGGTAGGGTGGAGGGAGAGTAGGGGGCAGGTAGACAGTGTAAAGGGCATCAAATATAGGTATTTAGGGAGAGGGTGAAGTGAGTAAAGGGGATAAAATATATGATAGCTGAAGGAAACTGGACTTTGGGTGGTAAATACACAATAGAATATACAGATGTTAAATTATAATGTACACCTGAAAATTATATAAATTGCATTAACAAATGTTACCCCAATAAATTTAATATAAATAGATGATGGATAGATGATAGATAAATAGATAGATGATAGATAGATAGATAGATAGATAGATAGATAGATAGATAGATAGATAGATAGATAGATAGAACCATAGGAGAAAGTCTTTGGGACTTAGAGTTCTTACACTTGACACTAAAAGTATGATTCATAAAAAGAAAAATTGCCAAACTGAACTTCATAAAAATAAAGACTTTCACTCTGTGAAAAACCCTTTTAAAAAAATGAAAGAGAAATTATCACTAGCAAGCCATATATCCAAGAACTAGTATCTAGACTATACCAAGAATTCTCACAGCTCAACACAGAAAAACAAACACCACCAGACATTTGAGGAGGATATGCAATTGGCTAATAAGTACGTGCTTAACCATCAAAGAACTGCTTTTACCCTGCTCTTTCTATTAACCTTTAGCAAAACTCCCCAATTCTCATGAAGCCATCCCTAGCCAACTCTTACCTCCCTTTTTTCCTCTCCCAGCCCAAACCCGCCTTTCCTGATTTGGTCTTCATAGGCTCTCTCTATTCCTCTATTAGCACTTCCATCTATTCAATGCTGTGGATCTTATCTTGGTATCAGGAAGAGGGCAATCCTGGGATAGTTAAACCTCACCAAGTCAGACTGGTCACTGAGAAATGAGGCAGGATGGTAAAGAGAAGAAAGACTTTCAGGCATGGGGAAGGAGGAGATAGATACAGTTGGGTATAGCCATAGGGGTCTTTCTGGTGCTCCCCTCATCACACCAGAGGCCACCAGGTTCTTTCCCCTCTCTTTTTCCCAGATCAGCAAGAGGAACTGAAGCATGGACAAACTTGAGGTTTTCTATTCCCTAAGCAGCAAAAAGCCTTCACTTTTCAAATCAGTGTCAAATTGTCAACAAACCGACCTCTGGTTATTTCGCAGCCAAATATGGTCAAAGTGAAAGAGGTATGCCTGGTTAAGGAGCAGGCCAAATTATCCACTCCAGAATGAGGGGATCCTACTAAGAGAAAGTATCTTTAACATGCTTTAGTATAGCCCCATATAATTACTGAGTCGAGGAGGTGGGGAGAGAGACAGACAGACAGAGACAGAGAGAGACAGAGAGAGACAGAGAGAGACAGAGAGAGAGAGAGAGAGAGAGAGAGAGAAATCCATAGGGACACATAGACCTAGGATTCAAACACTGGAGGGTGGAGGCCTTCAGGATCCTTTGAAACTCCCAGGTGGAACCCAGGTTGGACATACATCCTGCATGGACCTTTTCTGCCCAGCCAGGATATCCTGTGTTTGTCAAAAAGACTGCACAGGGAAGCCCTGACCATTGTCCTTCCCAAAATCTGCCAGTCAGCCCCTCCCAGCTTGTGGCAGTCACCGAAGGCAGAGGAAGAGTAACTCTGGAAACAGTGTTATCAGCATCCTCCATTGACTTCCTCACCTCCTCCCCAGCCTCATTAGCCCCAAGCTCCTTAGCATCTTCCAACAGAACCTGGGAGGCTGGGATGGGGTCAACGCCCTGAAGCCAGCCCCCTTTCTTTTGCCAAGACTTACTTCTGCACAGCCCTAAGTGGACAGCTGAAGGCTGCAACTGGAGCCCTGGGCCCCAATGGAGCCCCGGCTGGAGCCTGAGACTGCTGCCCTCCACCTGGGCTGGCTGGCCTTACTGCTATGGATCTCAGCCCTGAACTATTCTGTCTCTTCGTCGGCTCCTCTTTCTCCTTCTCTGGTGCCCCGAGTCAGAACCAGCTACAATTTTGGAAGGACTTTCCTCGGCCTTGACAAATGCAATGCCTGCATCGGGACATCAATTTGCAAGAAGTTCTTTAAAGAAGAAATAAGGTCAGAATCTCAATCAGATAATTCTGAGGGAAAAAATTCTGTTCCTTTCATGTGAAGATGTCCAGAAACTTGTTGAAAATGAGTCAGGGTGTAATTTATTGGTGGGAGCTGAAGCCAAGTCATTTAATCATTGCGGTGAAGGGTTGAAATTGGGGCACCGGGGGTGGGGGGAGGGGGTGTGTGTGTGTTTTTACCTAAGGTGTGAAGCCAAATTCCAGCCCTAAATGCTAAATCCAAAGTGTCCTTTTGAAGTGGGAGCTTAATGTTTTCTGTGAATGGAGTAGCCTGGGACTCTTGCATTAACCAAGTTCATTTTTCATAGGGGGAGAAAATAAAATGTATAGAAAGCCTACTATGTGACAGACATTTTAAAGCTATTTTTATTTACTCTCACAACCATCCTGAGAGTTAATGTTTTGTATTTATTATTCAGATAGCGCACTGAAACATAGCAAGATTAAGTGGCTTGCCCAAGGTTGCCACCTAATAAGTGGCAGAATTGGGATTCAAGCAAGGGCAGTTTGCAGCAAAATTTCTGAACCAGTTTTCTGTTGCGAGATGTTCCCTTGATCAGAGGAAAACCCAAGTTTAGTAAGTTTCAATGCACCTGGCTCTCACCAAAGAATGGGATCACACTCTGAAATTCAAGCCTGTCAACACACAGTCAATGAGCCTTTACCATAGCCAAGACCAAGCAGGTGCTGTGGCGACATCCTTATAACTCTGGTCATTGCCCTCCAGGGGTTCAGGGGGAGGGATCCATATTACAAATAATAATAATAAGGCCTGATTTGATGCAGGTCAGAAGTGAAGGGTAAAGGACCTTTGGGAGCTATTAACTCCAAATGGGGACTGAGTAAAGTTTTCTCCAGGGGAAGATACTCTGAGCAAGGCCTTAAAGGATGAGCTGAAAATTAGTGGGAGAAAAGGGGCTTAAGGTAGAAGGACCAGCTTAAACAAAGATCCAGAGGTGTGGGAACAGGTGAAAAGTGCTCAGTAACTGGAGCATGGAACATAAGTGGAGCCATGGCAGAGAAGGAAGTTTGGAAGAGTCAGATGGAGCAAGGAGCTTTGAACGCTGTGCCCAAGAATAAGGACCTTAACCTGTGGGCCAATGGTTCCCAGCCTTTTCAACAGCAAAGACCCTTCGTAATAGGTCTCTTTTCTGCCCAACCTCAAGAACCTACCTCAGGTATGTAAGATTTGTGACCAAACAAAAGGCATTAATTTACAATAATTTTATTTCTTATCTGTATTATCCAAAGGCATAGTTTAGTTGATTATTTAACTAAGTTAGTAAACAGAAATAACAAATAGAAAATGTCAAACAAAAATGTTGAACTTCTTTTGTGAGGTGGTAGATATCGTATGGAGTTGATGTGGACTTTATTGGGACTTTTTTAAAGGCATTTTGAATGTTGAAAAGTTGAAAGACTTTCCCCTCTCCACTACCCACCCCCCCAAACACACACACACACACACACACACACAAAATTGGGAAAGCTCTATTGCAGGCCATGGTGAGGGAGTTAAGTGGAGCGGGAACAAGACGACACTTGTGTTTTGGAAAGACTTTATGGAAAGAAGTGTGCAGGATGGACCAATGATGCCGGCAGAGGCTGCCAGACCAGTTCTGCTAGTCCAAGAGAAAGGTTATTGGTAATGAATCAGGACAGGAAGGATGCTAATCAATTCAGCTAGAGAGTCATTTTGTTGATCAACTCAATGTGAGAGAAAGTAAAGATGGAGATGTCAAAAGTAAAGTCAAGGCTTTCCACCTAAGAAATGGGATGGAGAGGACCAAGAACACAGGTAAAGTGGGGCTGATTCCTTGGGGAAATGAGGCAGTGAGAATTTGGACACATTTTAAGACAGGAGGAAAGGAAATTAAGGGATTCAACTGAGGAAGAGCTTCAGGTTCACATCCTCATCCAGATAAGTAAACGAGAGTACCTGAATCTCATAGTTGATTCTTAACCAAGTGAAATAAATGAAGTTTTTCTCACCAGGCAGGTATTGGCCAAATTCAGGAAGCATTTCTCCAAATAGGTTTGTATGCCATTTGAGCTCAGGATATTACTTCGGCCCCCTCAAAATTCATTTTCCATGTGTGCCTGAAAGGGAAGTGTGCAAGCAGGAAACCATCAGGCAGGGCAGGTTGTGGTTTAGAGCTCATTGTGTTGAGAATGCACATTCCTCAGCACAGAAAAAGCAGAAACAGTGAGTGGGTCTGGGGACATGGACTTGTTTATAGTCCTTTTCTCTACATTGTAAATAACTTTTTTCTTATTTTGAAAGAAATATGTTTATTTTAGAATTTCCAGGAAATATTGATTAAAGAAAGCACAAAATAAAAATCATGTATAATTCCTCTACCAAGAGATCACCGATTTGTTAACATTTTGTTATATATCCTTGCTACCTTTTTCCTAAGTATGAATTAATTTTTTTTTCAACAAAATGTGATCATACTATGTATAAATTTTTATTTCACAATATATCAGGAACACCTTTCCACATTATTACCTATTCTTCTCTACAACTTGATTTTTAATGGCTTCATGGTATTCGATTGCATCAATCAACCAAAATTTAATCCAGTATTGTGAGACAACTAAGTGTTTTTTTCACTTTTCAGTATTATAAAAACAGTGCTATGTTGAACATCCCTGTGGCTAGACTTTCATACATATCAGTGATTAATTCCTATGAAAAACTCCTAAATGTGGAATATTTGGGTCAAAAAATACCGCAATTTTTTTTGGATTTTGAGATAAATAGATACACACACAAATGGAAATTCCTATGTATAGAGCTCATTCCTTGAACACTCACAAATATTTAATATCACTACTATTTTTACTTTATATTTCTCCTGAGTTGAGCACTTTTTTCAGACTTATTAGCCATTTGTATTTCTCCTTTGCTAAATTGTCTACAAGTTCACATCCTTTGCCTCTCTTTCTAATGGTATGTTTGTTCATTTTGTTCTTGTTCATCTCCAAACATTTCTCCACTCTTAAAAGTGATTATGATGATACCTTAGGAGAAAGTCCATCAAAAACTCTCAGACATTTGTCTGAAATGCTACAGCCAGGCAAGCATTAACACTCCAGGGCTGGTCCTCATGAAGAACTGGACAATGCTTGTTGTTCAGCAACAAATGGAGAATGAGCTTCCCAGATTGGTTGGGTAGGCTGAAGACACACGATGGGTAGATGAATGTCACCTTTTCTTTTCTCCCTTACCTTTTCTTTGGCAAGAATGTTAATAATGAATCTGATGCTTTCCATACTCAACACTGACCTTTGAACATTTAAATGTTTCAGTGCATTCCATGTTGACTTTCAAATCCTGAATGAAAAAGTTAAGGAAAGCTGGAAAAATGAGTAAACTTGATTGACATATTCTTCCTACTGGAAATATACCTATATTTGAAATCTTAAGTGTTCACACCAATTGGCAAGATTTACCAGGACCTGATGGATCAGTATTTGTCTATGTGCGGGTAATAGATGAGAAGGGGTACAGGAGGGGAACTTAGTGGCAGTATTTCTGGTCAGAATCACTCCTAAGAATTCTTGGGCTCTTACCAGGGCAGATGCCTTACCTCGCCTTCCTCAGTGTACACACTTGGCCTTACATTCCCACCCTCAACTTCCAAAGTCTTAAAGAATGTCTAAATACTTTTGACTGGTAGAGGGCTCACATTGAAATAAGTAAATCATTAGGTTTGATTCTGCCTTCTCCTCTCCCTTGCCCTTGTCTGTCTCCTTCACCTCAGAAAATTATAGTAATTATTACTCTAACACACTTCCTCATATCAATTCAAGGTCTTGGGAGCTGCAGGGCCCCAAAGCTTATGGCAAAAAAAAAAAATCCCTCTACACCTTTAATCATCCATACATGCACCTATCCATTCATCTACCTACTCATCCAGGTATCCCTTCATGCCTTCTTCCACCTAACCTTCACTCTGTGCATTCCAACCATCCAACTCTCCATGTACCCCTCTACTCATTTATCCATCTATACATCCAAATACCCATCTATCCACCAACTAAAGTGTATTGGGCACTAACTTGGCACCAAACACTCTACTAGGCACTGAGTTATAAAGTTGAAGGCAACGCAATCTTGGCCCTGAAGTGATTTGCTTTCTACTGGGAAAACAGAGACATAAACCAATGGTTAAAGCAGAGTATGAGGACTATACAAAATGTCCTACATAGGATGTCATGATAGCATGTGAGAAGGAACTTATCTCAACTGGGGGATGAGAAAGTGAGAATCAGAAGAGATGATACCAGTCTGGGTTTTAAAGGGTTTGTTAGGAATTATCCAGGCAAGAAAAGGAAGAAAGTATCTCTAAGGGATAAGCACATGATAAGGTGAGTGGAGGCTCAGAGGCCCAAAACAAATGACTCAGCCAAAGATGGTTAGTGGTTTGGTGATACCAACAAGCTTTTA